AGCCCATGGTGCTGCCTGGCCGGCTGGCTGGCCAGCCATGATGGGAATTGTGGAGTGCACCAGGTTCTCTGACTGTTATACTGCAATGAGATGGTGGCTCTTTGCATCGTCTGTATCACTGCAGAATGCAGGGAAAGCGCAGGATTGGATACTCCGTTGAAAAGGCACTCTGGAAAATTAGCGTACTGGGTACCAGGCTGGGTTAGAACACATTCATCCTGGATAGCTAGATTTCTTGGTGTGAGGAGTGAGGCAAGAGGTGTTTGGTCTCTGGAATCTGAAGAGGCACGATTCAGGTATAGGGCTGACTGCCTTGGTGAGAATTAGGCTGCAGTCTTAGGTCGAACTTGAAGATTTAGGATAATGGCAAAGAAACAGGCTGAACTTCAAGGTCTGCTCTGCTCTTAGCTGGGACTTAATCCCACTGGACTCGGTGAGATGTATTTTGGAGCAGAGAGGTACAGAATCTCTCGCTATCATTTGTAAGGATTTGGAATTCCTTTTTAAATTGTGTTTCTTTGTACCATGTAACAGCTCTTAAACAAAATGTCCTTCCATGTTTTGTGAGACATCCTTAAGAATTCAGAGTTTGCCCATTCTGATGGATGGAGCTCTGTTTGGCAATGCTTCCTGCCTGCGGGTATGCATACATGAAATACCTGCCTTCCTTCTTAATCTGTCCTATCTTAAGCAAAAAAATCCCACTGAATTGTGTGGCTGGTCCGTATGGGCTTGCTTCTTTGTCAGAACATTGCCTCTTGGGGATACAGAGGCCTCTTGATACAAATGATATTTGTGTCTAGAAAGTATTTCTAGAAAGACAGAACAGACCTCGCAGATGATCCCATATACAGAGAAAACCATTGAAAATGGTGAGTCTTTCCTAAGTAATAACTAATTGACTATTGGCGATATATAGGTACGTGAGGGGGTGTCACACAGAGGTGGGCAGAGGCCTGTTCTCCCCTGCAGAGGAGGGCAAGGCGCATCCCAACAGAGCCAAGCTCAGGGAACCAGGGTTCCATTTGGATGCCAGGAAGCACTTCCTGACAGTTGGGACCCCCAGGTTGTGGAATGGGCTTCCACGGGAGGCCGTTGAGGCCCCATCGGTGCGGGTGTTCAAGGATAGGCTGGACGTCCACATGGTGGGCATGTCATGAGTGGAGCCGGCTGGAGCCGGGGGTCAGACTAGATGGCCTGGGAGGCCCCTTCTGACTCGCTCTGTTTCTATGTTTCTAATTCAACCCCCCTTGTGTCAGTGGATGTACTCTAAATGCAACTCAGTTTAAAAACATCAGTTTCCCCCCCTTATTTATAGCTGATCTTTCCATTTATTTATTTATTTAACTGCCAATTTGAACATGTCCCATGAGCCTTCCAATTCTCCCTGGGCCTTCCTGAATGAAATAGAGAAAGAAGATGGAAGAAAGGTGAAAGAGAAAGAGAAAGGGATGAGAGACTGGAAATGATTGTGCCACCTATGTGTTGGATGTTCTGCCAAGTACGACGGCAGGTCTCCGCCTTGAGGGATTTCCCATCCACACGTGACACAGGGAAGACGGGAGCTGACTCCAGTCTGTGTGCAGCTGCCGGGCATTATGCCGTGAAGGAATTTCTCTCCCCCTCTGGGCCCACCTCCTCCCCACAGCCCATTCTCCTGCCCTTTCCATTTGGGCCCAATCCTGCCCCAGGAGGAGAGAGCAAGACCAGTGGAGGTGGGCGCTCTCTCCTGGGGAGGACTTTGCTCACTGGGGGAGCAATTGCTCTGAATCCGGTCCCTGGATGCTCTCCGCTGTCAGGGGTGGTTCCCAAGCGATGGAACAAGCTTTGCCTGCTGGGGAGCACGTGGAGCTGCTGCCCCTTGGATCAGAACATGCTGGCCTGGAGGGATGAGTAGCTTGACCAGACAAAAGCAGGGTCCTGTATTCTCCTTCCGCTTGCGTGCCCAGAAGAGGTACATGAAGCAGCAGCTGCAATAGTGGATAGGGTGTCCCTTGCTGAGGAATGTGCCTTGTGGGACACCCAAAGATGTTGCCCCTGACCCTGGCTGAAGGGGAGGAAGATGGCGGCGGGGGAAAGGGACAGAGTGAACCGTGTGTCTTCTGCTCCCTCCTGCATCCCGAGCCTTCTTCGTCCTCACAGGGCTGCTTCGGCGTCTGGTCACCTGCATTGTTATTCCGTTCCTATTACTGTTATTCCATTGCATTTATAGCCTGCTTTTTTCCTCTTCTGAGGAAGTCGGGGCCTCTCACAGAGCTCCATGTTTGTCTAATGTGGCTCTTTCAAACCTGTGTGTGAACCAAAATTTCTTCTGAAATTCTCACATCTCCAAATGTTGCAGTGGAGTTCACAAATTAATAAGGTTAGACAAAAATGCATATCTTAGGGAAATGTTTACACAAAATGAATGTAAGATGACAGTGGCGTTAAAATGCTAATCTTAAGAACATTGCTTGCAAAGATGCATTTATAGCCTGCTTTATAGCTCCATTTTTATCCTCACAACAGCCCTGTGGGGTGGGCTAGGCTGAGAATGAGAGACTGGCGCAGAGTCACAGGTGAGCTTCATGAGGACTAGAACCCAGCTCTCCCAGGTCCCCATCACTGTAAACCACCACGCGTACCACACTAGCTCTCACCTGGGCCACGCAGGTGCTGTTTTCTGCTAGCTGCATTACAGCTCCAAACACCTCAGCGCTCACACCCGAGCTCTTAAGAAATTACATTAAGCACGTTCTCGGAGGCAGGTGAGCAAAAGCATCCCACCTGGAATTCCGAAGGATCCCAACCATATTCCCCGCTGGGAGGTCCACACACAGCATCTGTGATCATCGTGTCATTGAATATTTGGAGGGGTGCGATTCGGTTCCTGTTCGCAGAGAAGCCCTTTTATCCCAACCTGACGCAGAGCCCAGCCCTGGGAAATGATCTCTCCGCTGCCGGAGCCCCAGAAAACTCCTCAGACTGGTTGGACTGCTTTTCCATGTTCGTGCAACAGAAGAACTGCCTTGACCTTTGTGTTGATTTTTAGTCTGGAGGAAGGAACTGGTATTCCACAGCAGCTTTGGTGGGAGAACGCTTTAATCTGAGCTCACCTTTGTCGTGATTTCACTAGGTAGACTTTGAGAAGACATTAGTGCTTGTTTGCAGATTGCTGGCCTGCAGTTTCTTGAGTGGATATAAATGATTTGTCATGTCTGCTTATCATGGAATCCCTTCCAATCGCCCTCTTTGCTTGAATGTGCATTTTATTTATTTAGTATATTTAACCTCTCCCTTTTTTCCTTTCAAGGAACTCTGGGCCGCTTACATAATTTGCTTCCAGCGCTCAACTTTATCCTCACAACAACCAGCCTGGGAGGGAAGTTGTTGGGTGGAGTGGCTGTGACTGGCCCAAAGCCCCCCAGTTGGCTCCGTGGCTGAGCAGGGACCAGAGCCTCAATCCTGTATTTCCAACCACTGCATCCCACTGCCCCTCAGTAAATGTGCGTCTTAATTAGAGCAGAGTGTTAAAGGGGTCAGAAGATCATTCAGCAGCTGCCTGGACATCCCAGACCCACAATTCCCCACTGCCCCATTTCTCCTCTTCCTTAGTTTTCATACCAGCGTTCCTCCGCTGAATGCTGCATCTTAGTCTCTTCCAAGAGGAGGATGGCAGATTCCTCCAAGCAGCTCAAGGTGATATTCTCTTTATTCCCACCCGTTTTATCCTCAGAACAACCCTGCAAGGTGGGTCAGGCGGAGAATGTAAGTTAGGCTGTCAGGAATGAGCTTTAGAGCTGAACATTTTCTGGAGGAGAAAACAGCAGGTTCAAGCTTTGGATTTTTGCTGGAAGGGAAAACCTTTCAAAATGCTGCTCACACAGTTTGTCAGCATATATAATGTTAGTTGCCTATTTAAATATTATAATGACAAATATTAAACTAAGAACGGCATTCAGAATAGAAGAAGTCATTGTAACCTTGGTCCTTTTCTTTTCCAGACAAGTTAAGGCATTGGCAGTACTACTGAAGAAGAATATAGGAAGACCAGTCATACCTTTTGACTTCTCGGGCTCTGCAGTGCATCAAGAGACATTCCGGAAGCAGTCACAGGTCGGTGGCCTTAAGTTACACTCAATCCCTACCCTCAAGAAGGGCTCCGGGAAGGGGGAAGCTGGCCAAGGGGCTTGGGGTGGGCTGCCAGGGGTACGTTGGAAGACCGATCAGCTGCTTTCCAGCCCTGCCAGAGTCGAGACGTTCTCTTTCGGGACACCCTGTTCAAGTGCCTCATATTAAGAAAAATGCAAGTGAGTTTGAAACAGCAGTACATGATAAAATTGTGTGAAAGAGCATCAGAAGCTTTGGAAAGGGTGAGGAAAGCTTACGGAGAATCTGTGCTATCAGCCACACAAGGGTACCGATGGCACAAGTTGAGACGAGCTCACAGTGCTTTGGCTGTCAGAGTTTTTGGCTGAAAAACGCATCATGGGCTTCCCTATCCACCCAACAGCCCCAGCTGGGCTCCTGGTGACTTTTCATACTCCCAGAGATGAAGATTGAAACACAGAAACGGAGCGAGTCAGAAGGGGCCTCCGGGCCATCCAGTCTGACCCCCAGCTCCAGCCGGCTCCGCTCATGACATGCCCACCATGTGCTTGTCCAGCCTAAGAATGGTTTGAGAGGACGCCATTTCGGTTGTGGGGATAACGTCCAAAGAGCCACTGTGCAGGCTCTGAACGCCGTCCCACCTGAGGACTTCCAGGGATGCTCTGAAGAACGGGGAAAATTGCTGGGAGTGTTGTGTACACTCACAAGGTGCATACTTTGAAGGAGACAATGTTCGGTTGTAAAAATGTTCAGGAAAAGAATTTTTAGGATATCATTCTCATTACTTTCTGGATACGCCTCGTATTCCTTTCTTCCAGTGCTGGAAAGCCACATCCTCGACTCGTTCGTTCCCTTTCACCTTTTTCCTCCCTGTCTCCCACAGGGTATATCAATCTACCGGCAGGACCATCATGACCCAGCAGCAATCAGCCACCTCCACGGGGGAAGATGCTCTTTTACAAAAGCAGCTTACGAAGAATTTGCACATCAGTGCCCGTTCGGGGGCCCCACATGGGAAGTGCGTCTCTCCAGTTTCCCCGGACGCCGGCGTGTTTTCACCCGAGTGCTTCTTGCCCTCCTCCGGGCCGAAACGGATCGTTCTCAGCACAACAAGCCCTGCTGCTCTCAAGGTGGGCACACAGCAGCTGATCCCCAAAAGCTTGGCTGAGGATAGCAGGTCCAAGCCCCCGTCCCGGCACCAGAGCTTCTCCGCAGCTGCCTCCAGCAAGGAGGTGGCCCGGAGCGACCCGAAGCGCATGTCTACGCCGAGCATCTCCTTCGATGAACCGGACGAGGCGGATCTGGAAGGGGGGACGCTGAAGCGCAATCTGCGCAACATGTCCTACCGGGTGGCGATGAAGAGTGTGGGGAACGGCGGGGAAATGGAGCCGGCCAAGGCCGTCAACAAACTGAAGTCTCCGCTGGAAGAAGGTGGTTCTCCTCACCCAGGGATTCCTCCTCGTGGGAGACACAAGGTAGGCCTTTTACGGGGTGAAGGGCACTGAAGCGAGGGGAGGAAAGCCGGTGGGGTCCAGTGAGAAACCGGAGGAAGGACTACTGTAACCATTTGGCAGAACATGCACGCATGCGTCAGCAAGAACATGCGTTCTGGACATGTCGTCCAGCTGAAAGGGAACCGTTCGTGACAAATAAAGCATCGAGGGCTAAGAAGTCAATCCCCACGCAAAGAGTTCCACAGGAATTCGGATAATGTCACAATAAAGGAGCTGATTTTGGGACATGCCCTCCCAGTCTTGAGCACCACGGCGAGGAAGCTGAGGTTGAGGTCATGAGATAAGTTCTGGTCATACTGGCTGACCATATTGCTTTGCAGGGCAGGAGGGGTGTGGGGGTGACCTCCCCGTCTGCACGCCTCTCGCCCTGCATCGGATGTCCATTATGCTCCAAGTTGGGGGTGTTCTGGACCTCCCCACAGGAGCCATGCTTGTGGACTGAGTTTGTGGCTTCAGAAATGGCTCTGTGCCGTTAGAGACGGGTTCGTTTGAGATGCTTCCTTTGATTTTCCATTCAGAGTCATTCTTTTTTTTTTTTTGTAATAAGTTTTATTTAAAATTAAAATTCAACAAACAAAACCTAAAAACAACATCAATCATCAAAAACACCAGGCCTGCTGGGTCAGCCCCCACGTCTTTTCCTTCAATTTATGATAACTTGAAAACATATTTAAATCTATGCGAAGTCCCGTTTCTCTAGCCAATAATAGAGTCCCAAGTTTGACAGAAGTCAGTATCTTCTTTCTCCTTCAGTGATTAAGTCATTCTATCCATTGCTGCACAGTCCAAGATCTTTTTTAAAATCAGTTCGTTGGTAGGTAGTTCTTCACTTTCCCAGTGTTGAGCAAATGCAATCCTCGCTGCAGTAATTACACGTAAAATCAGATTTATTTCTTGTATACTAATGTCCACAGATACCATTCACGGTCATTCTAATTTCCACCTTCAGTCCAGACTCCCTGTGAGTGATCAGATAGGAATGGCAAAGGAGTCCTGCTGGATTAGGCCAGTGTTGGTTGATGCGGTGGCCTATCAGCTGCCCGCGGGATCCCACAAGCGGACAGGAGAGCAGCAGCACCCATGTGCCCCAGCGACTCATGCTCACGGGCACATTGGCAGAGCCGTGAACAGCTTTCCCCTCTGTGAACTCACCCAGTCCTCCTTCCAGCTCTCTGCCTTGGGGGCCTTTGCTGGCTTTTCCCGCAGTAAATCCCAGGGCTTCACTATTCCTATTTCAGGAAGACCTTCCTGTGCTCTTCCACCCGCCCGTTTCATGGGATGCCCCTTTGGCATGCCAGTGTTATGAGAGGGAGGGGAAATGTCTTGCAGCCCACTGTCTCCACACCGTACATGATTTTAAACACCTCTAGCATGTCTCCCTTCCTCGCCCTTTTTCCAGGCCAGACTTTCCCAGTCCTGCGTTCCTTTTTCTTGCACTTTTCCTCCTCGGCAGCATCTTTTTCCAGGTGTAGCAAGCAGCGCTATGCACAATAGGTTTGTGTGAGGACGTATGTTATGAGCAGGTTGACTTTCAAGCCCTTTCCTCATGTGCCCCTTTTGGCAGCAGCTGTTGCTGGGCGGACGTTTTCATGCTGAGGAACTTTGAAGTGTCTTAATTATCCTACTGTAAGTAAAGCCAGAGGTGTTTCAGAGGCCAAAGGGCAGTGGACACAGAGCAGTTTTAAAAGCTTGGGATATGGGCTGGGTTTTGGGTGCCCCATGGAAGCGGAGAATGAGTGGGCTCTGAGGTTGCTTTGGGGTGTAAAGGAGAAGCTACCGGGGCAGCTGGAGGATGGTGTGGGGGGCAGAGAGTGCTCTGTGCGTTCCTGAGCTGCTCTGTGATTAAAGATCCCATTCGGTGCTTCGGCTCTTTTTTGAGCAACGACGGCTTAAAGAAGGCTGGCTATTTATTCGGTTTATATGCTGCCTTGATCTCCCCAGTGGTCTATAGAATGCATAAATTAAATCCAGGTCACTTATTTTAGGTCATAGTTTGGGTTGGCACTGCCTTTTCATTCTGGTGCTTACCATCCTGTTTAATGAGAAGCGTTTCTCACTGAGAGCCAGGTGCATGCGCTGCCTTGTGGCCCTGTCAAATAGTGCAAGGAAAACTAGAGAGCCTTCCATGCAACCCCGGTGGTGTCAGAGCCCAGAGATGGGCTGCATGGCAAAGTCAAGATGTAGGATGCAAATTGGTCATGGTACATTTAATTGCCTGTTGGGCATATCAGGAGCTTTTCTCTGATTTTGCGGAGCGTCCCTATTTAGCAAGAGAAATGTTTTGTGTCGCTTTAAACCCCAGGGAGGATAGGAGCAAATGTTTCCGACCTCGTACGTCAGTCTTGCAGCATCACTCTCTGAGCAGCCCTTGTTTAACTTGGCCCAAATCCGGATTATCCTCTTTCTTATGAGTGTTTGTACCTGGATCAGAGGCAACCGTAGGGCGGAGCAACAGCTGGTAAAGACTAGCAACCAGCCATGATGTGGCCCAGTTCCCAATTAAACAGCCGGCAGGGAGGGACGCAGGATGAATAGGAAGCGAAGAGAAGGAGGTGTTTACAGGTGTGCAAAAGTGAAACTTGTTTCCTTAAGGCCAGCTTGCTTCAGAGACTAAGGTTCCTGCATCAGTCACAGAATAATAGAATGGGAAGGGGCCGTTGGGTGCAACCCGCTGCTGGGACTCCCAGTTAAACCATCCCTCTTGGACGACTCCCCACTGAATGCCTCCAGCGTGGGAGACCCCACCACCTCCCTAGGTCACGCTTTCCATTGTCTTGCTCTTCTAACAGGAAATTTTTCCTGACACCTAGGCAGACTCTGGCTTCCTGTCCCATGAGCCTGTTATTCCACGACCTAAACTCTGGGGGGGCTTAAAAGAGATCTCAGCCCTCCTTTATGCAACAGCTTTCAAATATTGGAAGGCAGCAATTATAAAAGGAAACAATTAGACATGGATTTCAATGAAGAAAAGATTGTGAATGTTAAGAAGAGAAGAAAAGCTTCTTCTTTTTTACATGATGTGCCAATTGCAATGGGCATCCCAGGGTGTCTGCGTAAGCATCCAATCATGTTCAAATATTCCAAAATCTTGAATGATTGAGTTTTCCAGAATAATGCCCACCTCTGGCCATTAGAAATAACAGAATAGGTCTTCTTTTAGTGATTTGTTTTCAAGAATGAGCATACTCAACTGAATATATATGTGCACACATTCATAATTCCGGTTTTGTTCCAGAGGAAGATATTCTGTGCCTTCCAGCTCAAGATTTTGCCTTCTACTGAATGAAGAAGTAGATTGCTTGCCCTGTTCTAGAGAAGTGTTTGGAGAGTAGAAATTTGCAGGGATGTCCTCCCAAAACACAGCATTCCAAGGCGGTTCCTGCAGACTCTGAATCTGAGCTAAAAGAAATCCTGAGCTGGAATTCCAAGATCAGCCAAGCAGCACGTGGGAACTGGGCCACGTCTGGTGCTGCGGAGATGCTGCTGGCAATGCAGAGCTGGGCTTGGGGGTGTCGCATTACCTGCCCCAGAGTTGGATGCCAGCCCAAGGCATCTGGCATTCCCACAAGCAAATTTAACCCCCCCTTTCCCCTTTGCATGAAGCTGGCCTGTCAAAGCATGTGCAGTCACGATGCAGAAGCGCTGGACCACGCTTCATGGCAAGATGCCGTTCCCATTCTTTCAGTGCGATCCCCAGGTTCTTTGGGGAGGCCTGGTGCCCCAGGCGTGGGCAGTGCCTTCCTACTGCTTAACCCCCATGTGGGCAGGGGGGCTAAATCACCAGTCCCCTACCCTCCACTCAGGTTTTGCTGCTTCCAAGGACGCTCTCGACTTGGTGACTGGTCCCAAGGTTGTCCCATGAGTGGCAATTTGCTCTCCCCATCCTTGGGCCACGATTCTAACTCCATTATGCTGCGATACTGCGCAGTTTTCCATAATAAGTTACCAAGGGAGCAGCAGATATGTGGATGCAAAGAAGGTCTGGGCAAAGGTGACTAGCCCTGAATCAAAGACATTTCCTGTCCACCTGCGATCTCCTCAGCAGTGCTGGAGATAAGGGCCAGGATGGGGCGGACGGTGGGCCAAGCAAATCGCCTTGCCTTAAAGGTTGTTTTGGGCAGAGCAGGATGATCGGAGATTTTGCCGAGCTCCCCGTGATGAGGGCCGGAAGGTGCTCAGGCTCCTTGAGGAAGGGTGACTTTCGCAAGCTGAAGTGACCATGTTGTTGTTGTTGTTGACTTTTGACAGAAAACCTTTGGCCGGAAACGGATGCAGAGACATAGAGGTTCCTTCAAGGATGGTGAGTGAACAGGCTAGGAGGCTGGCCGTTACGGCCCACCCAGACCTAAGCAGCACCCTGTGCAAAGCAAGTCCTCTGCGCCCCATCGAGGTATCCCTGCCCTTTGTGGTCCTTATTTTTTAAATCTCCTGCAGGGGAAGTTGTCACGCCTCCTAGAGGAATTCAGCCAGAATTCCTGACAACAGGAAGGGGCAACACAACCCATTCCCTCTGTGGGTTAAGGAGTCGCTTTTCCATGCCTCTTCGTTATTATGTCCTGGTAGCAATTATGCCCCTGCAGTCGGAAACAGAGTGGGAATTATTCCCCGGGAATCAGCAATATGTGGGATCCTGGTGGGAATTTAAAAGTGGGCCAGCCGAAAATGTTGCGGTGTGGAGTGCGATCTTGCTCCACATCCCATGCTCATTTCCAGGATACTCACAGTTCATTCCCCCTCCTGGCTTTAGTAGTTGGGTGTGTGTTTGGTTTTGCCCTCTCCAAAGTTAAACAACCTTCCACGGCCGATGACCTTACACAGTCAATCCTGGGCCTTTTAGGTTTTTTCCCTGGAGGATCTGGAGCATGGATAGCGCTGTTTTGGGCACAGGACAACTCCCAGAGAATGAATTCAGTGTCATTTCTCGGTCTTGGTTCTCCTTTCCATGTTTCTATAAGCTCAGGGAACTGAGATTTAGGGTGGATGCCAGGAAGTCCTTTCTGACAGTTAGGACCCCAAGAGGATGGGAGGGCTTCCCCGGGAGGTGGTGGAGGCCCCATCGGTGCGGGTGTTCAAGGATAGGCTGGACATGCACATGGTGGGCATGTCAAGAGCGGAGCTGGCTGGAGCCGGGGGTCAGACTAGATGGCCCGGGAGACCCCTTCTGACTCGCTTGTTTCTCTGTTTCCAGATCCCCGACTGTATCAAGAGATCCGAGAGAAAGGCCTCAACTCTATCAGTCACGAGTCAGACGATGACCTCCTGGACGTAGAAACCATCCCGGAGGAGCCCTCTGAGTCAGCCATCACGGTGAAAAGCTATCGGCCTGCTCACGTCACCTGGAGCCAGCTCCCCGAGGTAGGCAGAAGCCGAAGGAGGCGGTCTTGTAAAAGGGACACTTGCACTCCCAAGTGCCTTTTTCTCCCTCCAAAAATGCCTTGGCCTCTCTGCTCAGCAGAGTCGGCGCTTACATGACAATGCTTCCCAACAAAGCTACCTGCGATCTCATGCAAGATCAGACACCGGTCCAGCAGCCCGTTGCCTTTTCCCTCGTTGCGTTCCCTCGTTGCAACAGGATTGCCAGACAGCTTCCTGGTGTCTCTTCTGCAGTGGGAGCATCTCAGCCTGAAAAGCCCCCTTCCCACCCGTATTAGGCGAAGAGATCACAAAAAGACCCCACAAGCTTTTGAGCTCCTCAAATCTCTTCCGCAGGCAAGTTGTTATAAAAGTCAGGTGGGTGTGGAATGGGGAGAGGAGAAAAAGGGTGTGCAGGAACATGGGGGGCAGAGCTTACCTGGACATCCAAATTGCACAGGTAGGGCCGAAGCACAGGGGTGAAGACTTGCTCCCCGTTGTGTCTGCATGACCAACAACCAGTGCGTTTGGCTGGGTGTGCAAAGGTCCGATGAGACGCCAGATGCTGTCCTGGCACCACTTATGTGCCTGTGGGCCTGCTCTACCTGAGAGTTGGCCAATGACCACACTTGCCACGTGCTGGTGATTCAGCTTCACCGTCTGGCCATCTCTTCCTCCTGCACCCATCCCGCCCCTCTTCAAGTTGCTCGTCTAAAGAAGAGTTTTGGACATCTCAAAAGCCTGCATATTTTTGGTGATCTTTTGTTGGCCTCGTGAAAGCCTTTCAGGGCTTAAGCTATGGAGTGTTTTATCGCACTTCGAGTGTGTCGAATCAAGTTAAGCAATGGACTAAAAGTCTCTTATCTGTTTTACCCTCCATTTCTTGGGTCAATATTTATTCAACTGTCTCTGGGCCTTTTCCTGCATATGGTGGCTTGTCTGCTTTGTGGTTTTCTTTGGAAATTCCCTGCATAAGTAGAAGTCTTTGGACCAACCATGGCTCAGCTAGGATGACCTGCCACAAAGATATGTTTGCCCCCAAAGCTCACAGCATTCTGAGCAGGCTGACGTTTCCAAACACTTTTCTGTCTGTGTAAGAGTGGGAAAGATGTATAGATACCATGCTGTTGGGTCCAGAATCAAGCAGCAAAGCTTTCATGATGTTCATAGCTGTCTCCAGCCATGGATCTAGGATTCTGAATGGCCATGTATCTTCTCAGACTTCTTCAAAGAGCCGTACTTGCCTCCCTCTGTCATGAGTAGCTTTAGGCTAGTCCTTTCAGTGGAAGAATTAAAAGTATGTTGCATTCATTATATTGGGGGAAAGGTAAAATTAGAATATGATTAAAGATTTGTATTTGTTCAATATTTATTTTTAAATGTGGACTAAAGAAATACGTCAACATTAAGAAAACTAAGATCATGGCATCCGGTCCTCTCTCTTCCTGGCAAATAGATGGGGAAGAAATGGAGGTAGTGACAGATTTTATTTTCTTGGGCTCCAAGATCACTGCAGATGGGGACTGCAGCCAAGAAATTAAAAGACACTTGCTCCTGGGGAGGAAAGCTATGGCAAATCTAGACAGCATACTAAAAAGCAGAGACATCACCCTGCCAACAAAAGTGCATATAGTCAAGGCTATGGTTTTCCCAGTTGCAATGTGTGGCTGTGAAAGCTGGACCATAAGGAAGGCTGAGCCCCAAAGGATTGAGGCCTTTGAATTGTGGTGCTGGAGGAGACTCCTGCGAGTCCCTTGGACTGCAAGGCGATCCAACCGGTCAGTCCTAGAGGAGATCAACCCTGACTGTTCTTTAGAAGGCCAGATCCTGAAGATGAAACTCAAATTCTTTGGCCACCTAATGAGAAGGAAGGACTCCCTGGAGAAGAGCCTAATGCTGGGAACAATAGATGGCAAAAGAAGAAGGGGATGGCAGAGGATGAGGTGGCTGGATGGGGTCACTGGGGCAGTCGGCGTGAGCTTAGCTGGATTCCGGGGGATGGTGGAGGACAGGAAGGCCTGGAGGAGTGTTGTCCATGGGGTCGCGATGGGTCGGGCACGACTTCTCGACTAACAACAAAAGAAATAGGTGTGACCTAATTGGCTTGGGAATTACTAAGTAATTCCTGTTAAGGTTTTAAGTGGCAGGCATTTCGGCATTTAAACTTTAGCACTGTTCTCTGGTGTATGTTGCATTGCATTCATTCCAACTTACTCCCAGGAAAGCATATAGCATTGCAACCTACGACTGTAGTCCTGTACCCATTTACTTGGAAGTAAGCCCCTTTGCGATGGGTCAAACAGCACAATGTTCCATGTATCTGCTCTGAAATGAGGGTTGGTGCTGAGTACCTAAAAGATCCAGATCTCAGGACAGGAAAACTGCACATTCTGAATAAAATCAGCAAATATATGTGCACAATTAGAAATAACTATTATAATTTCAGTTTTATAGAAGGTCTACTGATTAACCTCTTGCTTGCTTCTGGGACAGAACCGTGCCAGGCACATGCATAAAACTAAATGGGCGTGCATGAAACTTTCCCACCATCCCCCCAAAGAATCCTTGGTCTTTCAAGCCCAGATCCAAAGGGAAAGGCTGGGCAAAGCCAAGAATATGACTTACTTCCAAGCAAACATGATTAGGATTACATAGCAAAGCTGTTTCCCATCCTCAGATCTCTCTGTGCCCCAGTTGCTTCCAAACTCCACAAAAAGTCCTGCACCATCTCAGCCGCTTTTCCACACTGCACAGGCCTTTTCAGGGCTGGCCATAACCCGTTTTGCTGCCCGAGGCAAAGCAGCAATTGCGACTTCTGCCCCCATCAAGCTGCGTAAAATACTCAAAGGCAGCCAACCTGGAAGGTTCCTAGGGCAGAAAATCCTCCAAGCGCTTCTCCTCTTCCCTGGCAGTGAAGACACCGTAACAAATGATTAACTCGATTATGATGCAGGTGCCAATTTTCAAGGAGAACTGGAGTTGTAGAGAAGGGTCATAATGTCACCCCCCTCCCCCGTCGAATGCTTGCAAGGGTCACCCACCCGCAACCCCCTTGCAAGCAATCCAGCTTAGAAAAATTGCTCCATTGTCACTAATGGTGGTTTTTTTTCCCCTCAGCTTAATTGTGGGCTGCAGGTTATTTCTGGGTGGATCTCAGAATTTTGTCTGTCTGCATATTGTGCCCCTCAAAATCCCTGTGGCAATTATACTTGGGGGGGGGGATCCTTAACTGGACCAATGGCACCCCGTTCACATGCTTAATTGCATGGGGTGGGAGCAACCCTAGAGGTGTTTGGGCAGTAAGACTGGAGTGTTTTTGCCCTCCAGGAGAGGTTAGGCAATCGGGGGGGGGGGGGGTTGTTCCAGGTACCCCATGTGTGAGTGAGATCGGGGTGCACATGAGCTAGGGGGTATATTACCCCTGCCTGGAAGAAGGGACAGGTGCTTTGGGGAAGGCTCTTTAGCCTGCTCTGCTTGTATCTTCCTCTATATTTCTCTCCTCCTCCTCCTCCTCCTCCTCCTCCTCCTTTCTCTCCTCTCCAGTCCTAACTAACTCAGTCCTTCCCATGGTCCCTGCTTCCAGACCAGCCATTTCCTTCCAAGCTTTCCCTCACCTTCCCTTCTTAATCTTCTCCTGGAGTCATTCCTAGTCCTCATTCCCCCATCCCTGCAGGTCAGCTATGCACTTTGTTTTATTCTGAATTTAATTTTTGTTTTATTTTGAATTTAATCTATGGAGGTAATGGCCATTGATGAACGAGGCAAGAGAAATTTGTAACTGCAGTTGGGTGAGAATTGTGAAATTAGTCAGGGGAGATGCCCAGTTTTGCCCTTGGCTTGCTTCTGGATTATTTATTTATTCTGTTTTTATCCTGATGGATAGCTGAAGGTTTTGGGGTGGTTCACAACAACTCATTGGACAGTTGATTTTGGGCAAATTTTTGCAACTCCTTTTGGTCTCAAAGTTTCTGTGCAAGAGAAATAAAACATCCATGCCAAAACTTCCTGGCCACCCTCCCTTCTGCCTTTTTTCCACACCACTGCAAATACAGAGAGAAACTAGTGAGTTTATAATTATCTGGAGCAGGATACACATTAAAAGAATTATTAATTAATCAGTAGAGGTGGCTTGTGTGAGAAATTAATGGGCTGACTTTACCTTCTGTGCAATTTAAGCAAAACCTAATCATTATGTCTAAATTTGCTCCCTAAAAATAAATTAGCCATTTTTGTTCAGATTTGCATACGTCCTGTGGGCCTGGTCTACAGAACTTTAACAATGTCCTTGCGCTGTACATTCATTTAGCTCAGCCCATGACATCGATTGAGGCTGCAAGTCTCTCAAAGTTGTCTTTTAAAAAACATTAGTTTTATTTTTCATAATATTACTGTCACACAATTGGGATTCTGTGGGTGAAGGAAGGATCCCTCTGGATGGATGCTTTGGAAGAAACGCCTGGCTCTTGAGAAGGATGATAATGAGTTCTCTTCCACAGGTGCAGGAAGCAGGGTTGCTAGACCAGATATCTCCGGAAGAACACAAGAGGCAAGAGGTAAGAAAACCAACAGGGGGCAAGCAAAAACCTGTCTTGGGATACTGGGAATTTGTCCTTGTGAATGCAAAAAATTCCAATTCTGCTGAGCAGAGACTCTCTTCTGAAGCCACTGCAGAACGTTTGGTTGCCCCTTTGATTCGTTGAGTCTGACCTTCTGTTTTTCTGAGTAGTTGCACCAAGCTAGGAAAGACTTCCATCCCCCTGCCATTGCAGGAAGTTTGAAGTTCGCTGCTATTGTAGAAACAGGTATGAGACATCTCAGACGTGCTGAGCAAGGATTCCTCTCACCGCTGACTCTTGTCTATCTGGGCTGGGGTTGAATGTACGCAACCACAAATGGCTGAGTGGAGAAACTGTGTGACAAGGGAGGTGTGATAGAGCGTGTTGCCTTGATTCACTCCATGCATGTAAACCTGAGCTTGGAGGCTTGCGTGCATTGCCTTGGAGCACATTGGACGGTGCCATGAATAGCTTGAGCCAAAGGGAGTCCACCAATTCCTGGGGCAGCCTCTTCACCGCCATGCTCACCTCTTCCTCTTCCTCCTCCTCTTCCCCCCGCCACATCTTTGTCCAGGCCATCTTTGAGATCATCACCTCTGAGTTTTCCTACATGCACAGTCTGGAGATCCTCGTGGACCACTTCGTGAAATCAGAAGAGCTGAAGGAGACCATGACTCAGACGGATCACCACCACCTCTTCTCCAACATCAGGGATATCTTGGCCATCAGCAAGAGGTAACTCTTGGAACTCTGCGTGAAGCTTCTGGCCCGCAAGAGCCAGTCTGGTGCGGCACTGAGAGCAGGAAGGGGGCAATATGGTGCCTTCCAGGTGCTTTGGACCACGGCTCCCATGAGCTGCCAGCAGCAGGGCTGGGGACTGTGGGAGCTGTAGTCTAACCATCTGAAGGACACCATGCTGCCAGTGCCTGAGTTAAGAGTGTTGGGGGCAGATTGCGAAGATCCAGGTTCAGATTTCTGCTGGCTTGCAAGGCTGTTCCTTATCTTTTGGCCTAATCTTCCTCACAAAGCCCTTCTTGGAATGCAATAAATTCATAAATAATAGCATGCATTTGTATCTCTCGGCGTTAGGCTGATGAGATGACTTTTCCATACTTAGGTAGCCAAGCGAAAGCACTCTTCAGGGTAACATTGCTCAGCCTTTTCCAACATGGTGCTTTCCAGACATGCTGGAATACAACTTCCATCATCTCAGATCATGGCCATTGGCCAGGTTGGATGGGAATGATGGGAGCTGCAGTTCCAACACATGTAGAAGGCGCCCGGTCAGCCAAGGAAAGCTGCTCCAGGCAATGTGCTCTTGGTGCCACTGGCCCCCCCCCCCCCCCCCCCCCCCCCCCCCCCCCCCCCCCCCAGTCTTCCCCTTCTGCACCACTTCTGTGCCAGCTCACCAAATTCTGAAACAGGCATTAAATGCTGTGACCTGGCGGCAAACAAATCCACTTTGCACTATGTACTCCAACAGAAAAGGACTTGTTCTGAATTGTTTCCGTCACGGGTCCTGGACTTGCTAATCCTTGGGAGGGAGAGTGCAGTGCCGAAGCTGCTCTGCTGAAGATTTGATTCGACTGCCCCTCTGGCTTCTGAGACATTGGCAGCGCTTCTGCCAATGGCTTCAAACGCCCAAAGAAATCTTTGAGGCCAGAGGCAGGGGCTGAGTCACATTTTTTTGTGGGGGAGGGGTTGGGGGGCTTACCCTTCCGCACAATGGGACACTCAGTGGTGCAAGTCAAGAGAAGCCGAGGTGCTGGAGAAGCCAAGCTACAGCAAGCTTGGAAGGGAGATTAAGGTCTTAGGGTGTTGCATATGGTGGGAGAGCACGGAGATAAGGTATTAGGGGTTACATGTAGGGTGAGAATAGGAAGGTATTCTGGCGATGCTGTCCATCTAAGCCATGACTGCCTTCTCTGATTGGCAGCTGCTCTCCAGGGCCATGTCACCTACTTCCAAATCCATTTTTAATTGGAGGACTGACCCCAGCGTTTTCGTAGGTTGTGTTACTGAACAGAGTGCTTTCGTGTAGCCCGAGGTGTCTGATCCTGCCTAATCTTGGAAGCTAAGCAGGGCCAGGCCTGGTTAGACTCTGGATGGGAGACTGGAGTCCTGCACTGCACAGTGGGTTCGACCCCGTGGTCTTTGATTCAGCAAATGGTTCTTCGCTCTAAGCTCGCTAGGGCTAAGCAAGTCCGTGACCACGTGGACCCTTCCGATCGGCCTCCACATCAGCTTCCCTGCAGGAAATACATCCAGGCAGGCTGCAGCGATTCCGTAATGGGTTTATTTTGGAGCACTTTGTGTAGGTGTTACGCGTGCTCCTTGGGCTTGTTCAGGCATCTGTTTGAGCACAGATGGAACTGTAGGCAAACCAGTATGTCAGCATTTCTACCCCGAGCAAGAGGGCAGGTCGCAAGACACCATTTTGTCTACGCTCCTGAGAGCTCCTGCCGCCGTCACTCAAATAATAGCAACTCTAAGAATTGGGGCCTTTGAGCTGTGGTGCTGGAGGAGATGCCTGCGAGTCCCTTGGACTGCAAGAAGATCAAACCGGTCAGCCCTAGAGGAGATCAACCCTGACCGCTCTTGAGAAGGCCAGATACTGAAGATGAAACTCAAATTCTTTGGCCACCTAATGAGAAGGAAGGACTCCCTGGAGAAGAGCCTGATGCTGGGAACAATAGATGGCAAATGGAGGAGGGGGCGGCAGAGGATGAGGTGGCTGGATGGGGTCACTGAAGCAGTCGGTGTGAGCTTTGCTGGACTCCGGGGGATGGTGGAGGACAGGAAGGCCTGGAGGAGTGTTGTCCATGGGGTCGCGATGGGTCGGACGCGACTTCGCGGCTAGCAACAAGTGGAATATTAATATTCAGAAACTCATAGCGTGGGAGCGTGGGGATCCTGGCTTCCATGCAGAAGGTCTAATGCATGGGTCCACACTAGGCAAGAGAACCAAACGGACTCCAGCTTTCCATCTGGTATGCTTCTGAAAGAAGCAAACCAAGGGAAATTCCGAAAGAGCGAGTCGCTTTAGAAAATAAAATGGGCCCTCAAGCTGATGTCTTAAGAGTGCAAGTGACTCACCGAAACGGCTTTGGGGCTCCCCAGTGTAGCCACAATCAGCTTTCCCTCTTTGCTGTCAGCACCAAGCGCCCGGCCAGGAAGGGCAATTCAATCTGCCCAATCCATGGCATGGGGGACCCTGCATTGCCCCCCCAGGGAATGCCGCCGCGCCTCGTTCACAAAGCTGAGTCACCCTGGAATGTGCAGAAATGTAAATTTGGGGTCCGTCACATTCTCAGCATGTTCTTGGTCTGAGCTCTTTCCATAAAGGGTGATGAGAGAGGTTGGCTCATCGCAGGGACCTGTCCTCAGGCTGGCCCCACCCCACCCGCCCTCTCCTCGCCTTTCCAGGTCCTTTCAGGAACAGGTGTGTGTTGGGGGGGGGGTTCTACAGAAGCTCAAGCCTGGGAGCTGTGATGTCCCCATGCCGTCCCTCTCCATTCATTGAACCCGCAAATGGGGGTTACAGAAATCCCATGTTCCACAACTCCGTGCCCCCCTTTGTTCAATACCTCCAACCCCTTCCTTCCCTTCCTAGAAAGGAGCAACTCCTTCGTCCGTTGTGCTTTTCTTGATAACAGAGGGATCAAGCCACCCATAAAAACAAATGCCTATTTCTGTTTAACCTGTTACTGGTCATACACAGGGAAAGAAATGTGCGTACCATGAGCCCACGCAGGCTGATGGTTATCATGATCTCAGTAGGTGCAGAGGGGGATTACACACCCCGCCCCATAGAACCCACAATCAGATCTCAGATTCAGATAATACTTTCACAGGATTCCTACACACCCCGCCCCATAGAACCCACAATCAGATTCAGATAATATTTTCACAGGATTCCGGCAGGAAGGAAAGGGCCAAATTCCACTTCCACGCCTACTACTAATCAACTCTGACTGTTCTTTAGAAGGGCAGATACTTTGAAAATATTTGGAAACCATTTATTGAATCTGTTTGAATAAAACGAAAGGGGTGTGACCCACCACGAGAGTCAGTGCAGCTCTGGAAGGGAAGTGGGGCAACTAGAATGGATACATGATCCTAAATTAAGTAATCTGGCTTGTCGATCCTGGTGGAGGTAGCACTATGTTGTGTAGTTTCACCAGTGATGTTTACTCATAATTGTTGTTATTGCATTAATTGTGTTGTTTTTCTTAGCTGTAAAAATAAATACAAAAGCAGGAAAAACAGAATTAAACAATAGGGCAGGTACTGAAGCTGAAGTTCAAATGCTTTGGCCACATAACGATTGGGAAGGACTCGCTGGAGGAGACCCTGATGCTGGGAACGATTGGTGGCCGAAGGAGACGGGACGGCAGAGGGTGGGGTGGCGGGATGGATGGAGTAATGAACATGAAATCGGGTCAACTCTCGGAGGAAGTGGAGGACAGGAGGGCTTGGCCTTCTGCGCTCCACGGGGTCACAAATAATCGGGCACAACTGTGCAACTTAACAACCTACTACACCATGACTTCTACGCACCCAGCTGTTGCAACTTGTGCTTGTATGTGTTGTTGCTGTTGCTTCCAAACTCATGCCCAAGCCATCATGACCCGAGGGACAACACTCCTCCAGGCTCTCCGATCCATCAGCATCGCCCGGAGTTGACCTAAGCCAGTGGTGGTGAGCATATGGCAGATGTGCCACAGCGGAAACACAGAGCCCTCTCTGTGGGAATGCGAGCCAAGCTGCCCCAGCAGCGCCCCAGCAGCCGAGCATCGGATAACAGCGCACATGGGGGCCGTGCGCAGGCTCGGAAAGGAGTAGCGGCAACAGGCAATGACGTCAAAAGCCACGGCTAAGTAGCCATGACTCATCTGAGCTTTCGCATGGCCGGTCAGTGCACTGCAAAGGATACACATAAATTTACTTGGACTGGCTGTAAACTAAAATCTGTTTTCAGGTTTCATTGTGTTCAGATTGGGCACAAAGGATGAGCTATGCAGGAAAAGATCCTCAAGGAAGGCTGTTTGAAAATGGCCCTCTTTTCACTGGAATAGTGAATAGCCCTGTGTTAGGGTTAGGGGAGTGCACCAGGGTAGGGTTAGGGTTGGAAAACGAGGTGTTCTGGCATGATTTTGATGGTTGGATTGTGTTTAGCATAGGCAGAAAGGATGAGTTGTGCAGAAAAAGCTACTCAAAGAAGGCATTTCAAAACCGCCCTCTTTTCACTGGAAGTTTAGCCCTGTATAAGGTTTAGGGGAGTGCACCAGGGTAGGGTTAGGGTTGGAAAAACGAGGTGTCCTGGCCTCATTTTGACGGTTGGATTGTGTTTAGCATGGGCAGAAAGGATGAGTAGTGCAGAAAAAGCTACCTAAGGAAGGCTTTTTCAAAATCACAATATTTTCAATGGAACTTGACCCCTATATTAGGGTTAGGGGTGTGCACCGGGGTATGGTTAGGCTTGGCAAAACAAAGTGTCCTGGTGTGGTTTTGATGATTGGACTGTGTTTAGAATGGGCAGGAATGGGCAGAAATGTTGAGCTGTGCAGAAAAAGCTACTCAAGGAAGGCTTGTTTAAAAATCGCCCCTTTCAATGGTAAATTGCCCCTATATTAGGCCTTGGGTTAGGGTGCCCAAAGTGCAACCCAAAACCCGCTTATTCATCCCAAAGTTCCAACGCTACATTAAAACCTGAAATCTTAATTTTAGTTTAGAAAAAACAACACATCCAGTCCTCACCTTGGCAGTGTCCTGAGCAGCCTTGTCAAAGCTCGGATGGATGAGTCGCGGCTCTTGACGTCATCGCCTGGCACTGCTATCCCTGTCCGAGCATGCGCATGGCCCCGATGCGCGCTGCTATCCAATGCACAGCTGCCTTGGCTCGGCCGCTCACGGAGAGGGCTCTGCATGCCCCCCGTGCCATAGTTTCGCCACCACTGATCCCAGCGTACTTCATAAGAACAATTCTATACTGCCCCTCTTCCTTTTTATTAAGATTTGGAAAACATAATGTCTAACCATTCCTTGCAGTTGTGTTGTGTTCTTGACAACCAAAACAATCCCTTAAAAGAACTCCCAACAGCCTAAATATGCAAGCCAAACCAACCAATGCAACTGCTTGGAAATGTTCTACCAGATAAATGTTCTGCCCAGCCTGGCAAAAGGTTCCTGAAGAAGAAAGTTTCAGCTTGGCGGAAGAAACACTCAAGTCCTAATAGGGTGTGGGGGGTGGTGGGGAAATGGTTCCCATGGGCAAGGTATTCTATAATCTGTTTCATTGCACTGATGACTCTTCACTGCACTGATCTTTAGTATATAGATATATTTGTAATAGTAATACATGGTTAGTAATGTACACTAATATATGTTTGGGCCATCTCTCCATGCCATCTGAAAGGATATAAGTTCTTGTTGGTGGCGTTATGTGCCATCAAGTCCTCTCCAGCTTAGGGTAAAGCCCCCCAAAATGTCCCATCCAGGACACCCTTGCTCAGTTTTTGGAAAGCAAGGCTGTGGTTTCTTTTATGGAGCCAGCCTGTCTAATGGTTGGTCTTCTTCTGCCTTTGCCTTTCCATAGCTTGATGGTCTTCTCCAGAGAGATGTTCCTTCTCAGGAGGTGCCCAAAGTAGGACACAGTCTTGTCTTCTGGAGGAACTTCTCCACAAGCATTTGTAAGGTTGTGTAGGAAGCGTTGCCACTCTCGAGGTGCATTTTCCCAGAAGTCTCATGTCTCTCCATGTTTCCTCCTCTGGCTTGTTTCTTTAGCTTCTTTGAGGACTTGGAGAAGAGGCATCAGGAGCATGTCCTCATCCCAGACATCAGTGATATCATGGAGGCCCATGCGGCGCACAATTTTAACCCGTACGTCATCTATTGTTCCAATGAGGTCTACCAGCAGAGGACTCTCCAGAAGCTGCTGTGAGTGGCTTGAACTGCAGAATATAATTGAACCTACAAGGTGGCTTAGCCCCTCTGCTCTCTCTCAGCTTCATTCCCTGCCTAGCTGCCATCCACAAATGGGGGGAAGTAAGCCCCACTTACTTGTGGGGGTTTTATGAAAATTACCATTGCAGAATGTAGATGAGGCTTTGAATATTTGATTGAAGTTATACCCTGGGCCTCTTTCTGTGTGTGCACCTCACTGGGACCAGAGAAAAATGCCTCTGTGCATGTGCAAAGTATGTCTCTCCCACCCCTGGATCATATGGCCCAGACAGTCATCAAAAGGAAGGTTTTGCTGAAGGGACAAAAAGAAGCTTCCATGAAAAACTTTTCACAGAAGCTAGAAATTAGAGCAAAGGTTTTATATGTCAGAGAGAAAAGCTAGATGTCCCATTCCAAATTTGTGCCAGAAATCTATTTCTGACTCTGTGCATTTACTTCCACATGGTGTAATGTCTGAAACTTTCTTTAGCTGTGCAGGAGAGCAGAGTCCGTTTATGGGTGTTCTGTTCAGTGGACACCCTGCCCTGCACCTTAAAAAAACAGCCCTCAAGGTGACTTGCCCTGAATTTATTTATTTAATTATGCCAAGCTTTTCTCGACTGTCACAAGAGCCACGTGGCTCTCTGGATGTTTTACAGCAATTAAAAATAATCCAACAAAGCATGAAAAGCCTCAACATGAACGAATTCTGCAAATAAAATATCTCTTCCAAAAACATCCAGCAGAAGCACTGACCTTCTTGACCTCGTACAGTGGCCAGATTGGGCCACATCTGATATTTAAATAATGATTAAATTTTAAAATTCAGAAATGAAATTACCAACCTAAACTTAGAATTGAACATTTCAATTTAACTATGAACAGGCAGGCATAGGAAAACTTTGCTCCCCCTATACCCCCCCTTATGCTCTATAATAGATCACCCCGAATCTGTATACATCAAGCATTGGAAAGGAATAGGGATTTGCAGAATAAGGGAGTTATTTATACAAGGGAAACCAATAAAAAAGCAACTCCCAACAGTTAAAACACTCCCATTTAAAAAAAAAAAGTCTTTGGTGCCCAAATGTGTACAAAGAGGGTACCTGGCGCACCCCTCTGGGGAGCTGATTCCACAGTGGGGTGCCATGACTGAGAAGGCCACACGCCGGGTGGCCTCCTTCCTAGCCACCTTTCAAGGAACACGGCGAGGCAGCCTGGCACCCTTCAGCGCGACCTCAGGCCAGCCGAGGTCGGGGCTCCCCCACGGGCTGCCCTCTCTCTTCCCCAGCGGCACAGGTTCAATCTGCCGCTCGTCATGGCGTAGAGCAATCTGTGCGCCAACCAGGCGGATGAGAGAGACCGCTGGTTGCTCTCTTTTTTTTTGCAGAGCTGCAAACCCTGCCTTTAAGGAGACCCTGAAGCACATTGAGCAGAAACCAGAATGTGGCAGCCTTCCTCTGATCTCCTTCCTCATCCTCCCCATGCAGAGAGTAACACGCCTGCCTCTGCTCATGGATGTGAGTTAAGGCGGGACCAGCGGCACCTCCCAGCCAGCCGCTTTGGGAAATTCCAGCCCACGTGCCTGGACCTCTGTGTCCGACTGCTTGGAAGCCCTTGTGATGGGTGCTTGTTTGCCCACCTGTCTGCCAGAATGCCAGTGCAGCGCAGTGGTGAGAACATTGGCCCAGGGACCTGGAAGATCTGGGTTCTAAACCCCACTCAGCCATGAGATTCCCCAGGAGACTCTGGGCCAGCCATTCACTCTCAGCCTAACCAACCGCACAGGGTTGTTGTCGTGAGGGTAAAATGGAGCTATATCAGATACTGGGAGTTCCTCACAAGAGGAAAAAGCTACTGCAGGGTAACCAGAAAGCACCAAGACCATTTAGTCTTGCTATTCCTAATAGCTAAACAGTATAATGTGAATCCTGTAATTCTAATCTAGAAAATTCCAGTTGAGGGCTGTCCTGCCTAGTTGGCCCCTAGCAGCTACAGCTGTGGAAGAGGGAGAACTCCGGACAATTCCGGATTAGCAAAAGTTCCCCCTTAATTTGGGAAAATCCTTGTCCAAGCTAGCAATGCGCGATGGGTTTTGCTCATGAGGTTGAAGAAGAGCGGTCTCACCCTGTTGTTGGCATCTCTAGGCCCATCTTGGGTCTCTGTGAGTCGCAGATATGGTGGAGGGAGACAGGTTACTTACCTGCCAAGGTAGTCTCTGAGTGGTCCTTTCTGTGCCCCAAAATTTCTCTCCCCTGACAGATTTAGAACAGAGGAATAGGTGGGAGTCGCCAAACGACGTTTCCACCTAAAGTCTCTGTTTAGCTCTAGAATGCCCTAAAAGCTGTTTTGCTCAGGCACATAAACCCATCAAGGGACATTCCTTCAAAGAACTTCCATGGCAAGTGAGTCATTGGCCCTTGTGTCAGCCTGTTAAATAGCACGACTATCTGTCCTATTTCAGACTGTCTGCCAAAAAACACAGATGGACTCCCCTGCTTACGATGCTGCCACCCAAGCCCTGAAGGCCATAAGTAAGGTAAGACTTCACAGAATCATAAAATGGTAGAGTTGGAAGTGGCCGTGAAGGCCAACGGCTCCACCCCCTGCTGTTGCAGGATGCCAAGTCACACCATCCCAGTCAGAGGGCTGTCCAGCTTCTTCTTGAATGTCTCCAGTGTGGGAGAGCCCCCCACCTCTCCAGGCAGCTGGTTCCACTGTTGTATTGCTCTGACAGTGAGGAAGCTTTTCCTTTTATCTAGCCTGAATCTGGGTTCTTGCAACTTGACTTGATTATTTTGTGTCCTACACTCTCATAAATCATAAAATAGTAGAATTGGAAGGGGCCATGAAGGCCATCAAGTCCACCCCCCGCTGTTGCAGAACACCACATCACCCCATCCCACTCAGGTGGCTGTCCAGGTTCTTCTTGAATGTCTCCAGTGTGGGAGAGCCCCCCACCTCTCCGGGCAGCTGATCCCACTGCCGTATGGCTCTGACGGTGAGGAAGACTTGGACTTGGGAGTCCTGCACTGAGCAGGGGGTTGGACTTATTGACCTCCGTTGCCCCTTCCAGCTCTACTATTCTATGATTCTTTGAATGGCTCTGCACACTTCTGGAGTTGAGCATGTGAAGGCTGGTCTGGGCATGAACAGCACCCATTCATGAGGCCCCCAGTGAACTGCCAAACGGGGGGGAAAGGAGCTAGGCAAGGCCACTGACTTGAGACAATAGCTCAGTGATGGAAGCAAAGTCTCTTTGTGCATTTGGAACATGATATCCCACAGGGGTGTGGAGACGGTGACTCTCCTCTGGCTGAGAGAAAGCAGCAGACGGACGGAAGAGGGCAGCAACCGGGCAGGTTTTCCGAAGGACTGAGAGGTGCAGAGTTTCCGTCTGGAACCAGGAGTGCGGATTTGGAGGGGGGGTGGGTCCCCCAAGCTGCTTTTTGGAAATCCACACCAACCCTCCCTTGCTTCTATTTAGGTCTCTTTGTGTATTCGGACAGCGTGACGATAGAAGGGCATGATAGCTGTCCAGAGTTCTCTCCCGGGAAGGGAAAAAGCCTCTGGTTTTCAGTGTGGCTCCTCCTTACTCTCCGGGGAAGTGAGAAATGCCAGCAGTGACATCCTAGCAAGTCCTTTTGTGCCATTTTCTGCTGAATTGTGCCCAAAAAGCCAGGGCAGGGACTTAAGCCCCTGGCCACATCTGCGTGCACTTTCACGAAGCGATTTTCTTTTTAAAATATAGATATGCTTTGTCTCTCGTGCTTTGCAGCTTGTGAAGAGATGCAACGAGGGTGCTCACACAATGGAGCGGACGGAACAGATGTATACCTTGCAGCAGCAGCTGGAGTTCGGGAAGATCAAGGTGAGACACCCCCCCCCCCCGCGAGTCCTGCGTCTCCAGCAAGATGGATTCTGGGGGGTTTCCCTCCAGCAGACGTGCATTTGTTCATTTGTCCAACATTCTTGAATTCAGAAATGCACCACATATGGAATGAAGTACCTTCGAATCTCTGCTCAGTTCGGATTTTACCTTGGTAAGGTGAATTTGGTGTGGTAAAATCAGTCTGGATCTCACCTTACCTGCTCTACCTTGCCGGGCTCATGGGAGAAACGGCAGGTGACCCAAGACCCACCTCATGGCTTGGAAGTTCATCCCAAGTCCTCACAGTCTACGCCCATCTTTCTTATTGATCTTCTGAGAGCTCGACTTGCTGTCTCTTCTCCCAACGCTTTGTAGCCTGTAGAAAAAAATCAGTGGGGAAGGGGTCGGTGTCATGAGGTGTTACCCCTGACGGACCGGGGCTTGTTGGTGTGCTTTCCTGTTGCAGTTTTCTCCAGGTGAGCGAGCAGTGCCAGGAGAGAGAGGACAGGATCGGAAGCCTGGTCTCGCCCTATGGTGGTGGCCCCATACCGGCCTGGAGGAAGAGGGGAAGCTGGCAGGCAGGAGCAGGGGGTTGGGTGGAGCTCCTTCTGGGGAAGACCCACAAATCCTGGAGCCGACCTGCTGGATGGCATCTCCTCCTCCTCCCTCTAGATGGGTGGGGATCTTCCGAATTCTCAGCAGTTAGAACTGTTGTCCACACGTCCGTGGTGTTGTCGCTACTTATAATTACTTGCCCACCCGATCCCTTTGCACACACCCATTCAAAGAAGTTCTCCCAAATCGTTAGGCCTTGTCCTGATTGGCTGCAACACATGGTGCTAAGGAACAGAGTTGTTGAATGGGAAGCTGAACCAAAGTGCCCGCCTAAACTGGGAAGCTAAGCAAGGTCAGACCTGGTTAGAATCTGGATGGGAGACCTGAGTCCTGCACGGAGCGGGGAGCTGCCTGTCACCACCTGATTGCCCATCCAGGCCTGCTTTTGAGAGGTTGGTTGGGAACACCCAGAATCTGCCTGAAGGATGTCTCACCCCCTGCATGCCAGGCTGCCCCTCAAGAGCTGCAGGGAGGCCTTGCTCCAGAAACCCTCTTTGAAGGAGGTATGGAGAGCAGGGCCTTCTCTGTGGTGGTGCCCAGACTATGGAATAGGCTCCCCAGAGAGGTCCGCCTGATGCCGACTCTTTATTCTTTTCAGCTCCAGGGGAAGACCTTTTTATTTACCCGTCATTTTAATAATTAAATTAATAATTTTAACAAAATCAATAATACTTTATACAGTCGCAGTTTCTTTTTCTTTTTCCTTCTTCCTGTCTTTATTTTTGAATTGCTATCGTTGTTTGTAACATTGCTTTTATTGGACGTTTTCATTGTGTTTCATATCATTGATTGATTTTTTGTAAGTCGTCCTGAGGATTGGACAAAGGACGGTAGAAATGTTTTGAATGAATGAATGAATGAAATCTAGTCATTGGCCAGTGTCACTGTGGGTCTGTCTTTCAGAACTTCCCACTGATTTCTGCTTCCCGGTGGCTGCTCAAAAGGGGGGAGCTCTCCCTTCCCCTGGTGGAAGAGGGTGGAATTTTCCGGAAGGGCTCCGGACGTGGGAGCTGCTATCTTTTTGTGTTCAACGATGTCCTGATCATCACCAAGAAGAAAAGGTGAGTAAAGGGGGTCTTGATGGGACCATCTGGGGGCAGTTTTTCCCCATGGAGTTACTGAGGAATTCTATTCCACGAACAGTGTACTTGGCAATGGGTGACTTTTCCTCCTTCGTCTTCATAAACATTTTAGTTTAGAAATAGAATCTGCAGAGCAAGAAAGCAGCCATTCAAAGAGCCCGTTTCCCAGTATTAACCACGGGTTTGGTGCAGGCTTAAGGATCATTCTCCCTGAACATGCCTTTCTTGGGTGCCTTTTCAGCGCCCGATGATTGACATCTTCCAAAAGAGGGTTTGTGCACTTGGTGGATCCGGTGATCCAGCATTAATGACGGGTTTGGCCCAACAAACCCCGAATGTTTCGAAGTGCCAACCCTTCTTCCTCTGATGGATCAGTTATGTTGCATCTTGTTTTCCATAAAAGCAACCTCCTAGGGCAGTGGTGGCAAACCTATGGCACGCATCCCACAGCTGGCCCACAGATCCCTCCCTGTCGGCACACGAGCCCAGTCGCCCCAGCATCGCCCCAGCAGCCGAGCATCGGGCAACAGCGCACATGGCCATGCGCAGGCTCGGAAAGGTGTAGCGGCGCCCAGCAATGACGTCACAAGCCGCAACTCATTAGCCACGACTCATCCAAGCTTTCGCATGGCTGGTCAGTGCGCTGCCAAGGGGAGGGAGGGAGAGAGAGAGAGGGAGAGAGAGATTTGCTTGAACAGACTGTGAATTTTAATGCATTCATTTTTATTAACACCAGTTTTTAGCTTTGAGTTTTCTTATGAAAAATTGAAATTGAATATCTAAGATTTAGCAAAGAGATGTTCTAATTAATGTTGTACTGTCCCCCTGGCATATTTGAATCTGCAGCACCATATGCAGGTTTTATTGTTGTGTTGGCGCTTTGCGATAAGTGGGTTTTGGGTTGCAGTTTGGGCACTTGGTCTCTAAAAGGTTCGCCATCACTGCCCTGGGTTAGAAACATAGAAACAGAGCGAGTCAGAAGGGGGTCTCCCGGGCCATCTAGTCTGACCTCCGGCACCAGCCGGCTCCGCTCACAACATGCCCACCATGTGGACATCCAGCCTATCTTTGAACACCCGCACCGATGGGGCCTCAATGACCGCTCGTGGAAGCCCATTCCACACCCTTGGGGTCCTGACTGTTAGGAAGTGCTTCCTGGCATCCAAACGGAACCTTGGCTCCCTGAGCTTTGCTCCGTTGGGGCGCGTCCTGCCTTCCTCTGCAGGGGAGAACAGGTCTGTACCCACCTCCGTGTGACACCCCCTCACAGACCTGTATGTCGCCAACAGGTTGTCAGGAAACATCCATTCATGGTGTACCATAGAGCTGGAAGGGGCCAGAGGGCCGTTTCATCGAACCCCCTACTCAGGGCAGAACTCCCAGTCAAACCATTCCTCTCAGACAGCTGCCCAGCTGCATCCAGAAGGCCTCCAGTGTGGGAGAGCCCACCCCCTCCCTAGGTCACGGGTCCCATTGCTGTGTTGCTGAAACAGTCAGGAAGTTCTTTCTGATGTCCAGCTGGGACCTGGCTTCTTATAACTGAAGCCAGTTGTTCTGTGTCCTGTCCTCGGGGATGATGGGGAAGAGATCCCAGTCTTCCTCTGGGTGACAACCTTTCAAATACTTGTAGAATACTATCCTGTCTCCCCTCAGTCTTCTCGTTGCCAGGCTAAATTGCATATCCTAGGATTGCTATTCCAGTACGGAATAAAGTATCTTTGAATCTCTCCACAGGTTGAGGAAGGACTTGTGTTAAGAACCACCCGTTTCAGAAATCTTGTGTACTCATTTGATCATCTCATGTACTCTGTGTATTTCTCTTAGTGTTCCTGAAAGAGTGGGTGCTTTTCCAGGTCGCATTTGTTTGGGATCAGACCACACGACCACCAGCTTCTTCACATGTAAACTGCTAGAAAGATACAGAGCACCACCGTTGTCTGGAGGCCGCAAACTCTGCCGGTGTTGTCCTGCCGTTTCACGCCCTTCCTGCTTCCATCTCGTCTCCTTTTCCTTCATCATCATCTTCTTTCCCACAGCGAGGAGAGTTACACAGTCCTGAACTATGCCATGCTGGAGCTGCTCTCAGTGGAGAAAATCGAAAACCCCGGAGCTCCCTCCTCTCCCCCTGGCAAGCCGGGTTCAAGCGGCCTTTTCCGCAGCGGCAGCTTGTTCCGAGTGACCCTGAACAAGGACAGCGAAGGCAAACGGGAGGAGACTGTGCTGGCCGCAGAGACACGGTGAGTATCGCCAAGGAGAGCAAAACCAAGTCCTGTTGCTCAGCCCAGTCTGTCTTTTACCATTATGTTTTGGTACATTTGATTTATGGTTCTATTTGTTCATTCACTGTTTTACCTTGTCAACTTGTAATGGCTTATGGCTAAATGCAACAGACTGACTGGTGGTGGGCATTGGACGCCATACCAAGGCAAGAGACTGGGAGAGCTGGACTTTGGGAAGATCTTTGGTGCAAACCCCACCTAAGCACAAGTCGGTGGATGCAAGACTGAGCACCAAACCACCAAGTCTTCCAGTCTCCAGAGCCAGTGTGGTGCAGAATGCAGGGTTGGGACTCAGGCGATCCGGGTTCAAGTCCCCGCTCAGCCATGGAACCAACTGGGAGACTCTGGGCCAGCCACAGACTCTCAGCCCAGCCTACCTCACAGGGTGGTGGTTGTTGTGGGGATCAGATTGAGAGGAGGAGGAGAAGGATATATGTATGTATGTATTTATTTATTTATTTATTTAGCATTTTTGTGTGCCATCCCATCACTTATAGCCTTGGGACAGCTCACATAACTAAACAAACATAATACAAAATACAATTAAAATCCGGAAACACAAAGTGTAAGCCACTTTGAGTTCTTAAAAGAAAAAGGGTGGGGTATAAATCTAATCAAATGAAGGAGCCCTAGATGAGCCCTCGGTTCGCAATAATTTGGGGGTCCAAATACTGACTGGACTTTATAGGGCTGTAGTATGGCAGGGTGAGCAACCCAACCACCATTCCCACATGGAGGGTCTTCCTGGACACCTCATGGGAGCAAGGCCGTAGCCAGTGGTGGGTGTACCAACACCTTCCAGACGCTTTGCCATCCGTCTCCTTTCCCATTGGCCGTGCTGGGGCAGCTGATGGGAGCTGGCTCGCCAACCGTCTGGACAACAGCAGGTCTGGAATGACTGGACTTGGTTTTGTGTCAGCTGCCCTGAAGGTTTGAAATGCTGCATGAATCTCTGCAAACTCGGAGGAAGCAGAAAGCTGTGAACTCGAGTCCCCTCTCCTGGATCCAAATATCATCCATCTCGTACAGTCAGACCTATTTTGAGAGGCCATCCGCTCTCCTCTGCATGTCTTCTGGCTGAGCTGAGGAAGATGAGAGATTGGGGTCCTCATATAAAAATGCAAACTGAATGCATTTTGTCACCCCTCAAGCCAACGTATCTTGAGGGTTTTGGATCACCAGCTCTTCGGTGTGGCTTTGGATTGTCACACTGGACTGCCTTGAGGCTTTGTGTGTTTGTGTCCCTTCCACACCTCCTACTTGTATCTTCTGAGTGGGTAAGGGGACAGAAGGTTTAAAACTCCCTCTTCCTCTCTCCACACCAATCTGATTTTGACAGGAGTGATCGCGCCCGGTGGATCACAGCTTTGATGCACGCGGTGAACAAAGGAGTTGACACTGTGAAGAAAGGAGGTACAACCTTTGGGGCTGAACACCTGGCTTTTCTCTTAAGCCTTCTTTGATGTCTGAGAGAGGAGGGGGAATTGCCGGATACAGAAGAGATGGGCTACTTCTCAATAACTCTCTCTCTCTCTCTCTCTCTCTCTCTCTCTCTCTCTCTCTCTCTCTCTCTCTCTCTCTGT